CTCTCTCTCTCTCTCTCTCTCTCTCTCTCTCTCTCTCTCTCTCTCTCTCTCTCTCCCCACACACAGATAAGTGAGTCTCGCTCTGTTTTCCTTCATGTGATAATCGGACACATCGAGTCACATGGTTCTGTATTGGGGCCATATAATCACATCAATGCACCGTTGTCATAAGAATGTGGCATCGAGTACCCAACTCTTTCTACCCCACCCACACTAACTCGTTTTCTTTGCACTAGACCATGCTATACGTTAACTTCTATTTGTCTTCTCTCTCTCTCTCTCTCTCTCTCTCTCTCTCTCTCTCTCTCTCTCTCTCTCTCTCTCTCTCCAGATAAGCGAGTCTTGCTTTGTTTTCCGTTCCCAACTGTAGGTCACTTTCAGTCACATAGTTCTGTAGAGGGGGCCACATAATGACATTAAGGCACCGCTGTCATAAGAAGTGACCACCACCACGCAATTCTTCGCACGAGACCCTTGCTAAATCCTTTGTCTCCACACTTCAAAACTCTCTCTCTCTCTCTCTCTCTCTCTCGAAATGGACGTGTCGTTGTGATACGAGTTGCAGACACGCAATCCCACCACATCTTGAGTCATGTCCCATCCGTCAGAATAACAAAAGTGTCGCTCAAGGAAAGATTTTCAAGGTCCTGCGCATAAAGCTTGCGGTTGCGTCTGCGGGGCTAAGACTTTGAATTCAAAGTCATGTACTGTGTTGCCCTTGTCGTCGACTGCACTTTTCTCTCTCTTTCTGTTCCCTGCATTGTAGTACTGTGTTGCCATATCTGCCACACGTGTGTCACGGTCGAGCTTGAAAATGCAAAAACTCATAATTGTGTCTCGGTTCCGGGCTGTATTGACTATGTCGTTCTTTATAGCGGTCATTTTCAGCGACTGATCCGACGCCTTGCTTGACTTCTTTGTTTGTTCTATTTCTGTACGAATCACGAGTTCGATAAACGCTAGTTGCTGCAATGTCACGCCAAGTTTTCCGTTGTCCCTTCTTATTTGAAACACTTTTGTGAGTGCCCTCTTGAAATGTTCTGCTCCCCGTGGCTCGTCGCTCTTCCTTCTCCTTGTTCTGTCTTTTTCATTTGGCTACGAAGTTCGTTTCGCACGGTGTTATTGTGATCCGACTGCATGCCACGTACGAGCGAGAGACCTCTTTCTGCTCAAAACCAATATCTCAAGTGCCAAGTCAACTCTCCACGGACTATTGTCATCATTCGGTTGCACTCTATAAGCACACAACGCACACCATTGTCCTCTACATACTTTCCCAATCCTACCCTTACATCTTCTCCTAAAAGGTTAGCAGTCAACTGCAACGCATTGAAGAAGTCGTCCTCTGAAGGGTAGAATGCTGCGTCCCTCGCTGTTGAGTGCACAAAAGTTTTTGCAACGGACATCAACAGTCTGTCTTTTTGTCTTTTTCCGAATAAGTAGCATTCGTCTCGCATGCCACCCGCCCAATGCTTGACCTTTTTCGCCTCCTTTTGACAATGTCTCCCTTCTTGTAAAATCTGGCGGCCTGCAACAACGCGTATAACAACCAGAAGTTGGAAGTTGGTATCCGCCACTCATATACATTCGTTTAGGAGGAGAAAAAACCACAACCGCACATACATATTGAAGACTATCTCAGATTTCCTTATCGAAAAACGTTTATAGTTTGCTACCATTTTGCAGTACCGGCAGGTGATGACAACAGTTCAAGCAAAACAACATGTCAACTAATTATTTCCGTGTGAGGTTTTGATTTTTCTCATACATTGTTTACTTACGTCCTTCAATTGTCGTCTTCTTCAGAACTAACTGTTTGTCGGCGTTGCTTTCCTCCCTGCCTTCATCACTTGTTCCTCGCGTTTTTCGATACGTCTTTTTTCTATTGTCCTCGCTACACCTTTCTTCCCTCCTACTGCTTTGGGATGGTTCTTCGTCATCCTGTGTGTTGTTATATTCATTGTCACCATCCTCCTCTTCGTTACTCTCATCTTCTCTATACGATTGTCCTTCGTTGAATGTGCCCGTGTTACCTTCTTCACCGTCCTCTGTCTCATCATATTCTCCAATGTCGGTCTTGTGCTCCTTACCTGCTGCGTCCCGTGACACATCTCGTTTTTCGCCCTCAGCTGCCTCGACACCTTCGGATCCCCTCATATCGATTGTCTCCTTCTCTTCCCATTCTTTGTCAATGGTTCTTCTCTTCTTCCCATGTGTGATGTTCTTCCGAGGTTGTCCTTCACTCCCTTGTCCGCATGACCTTTTCTCTGGCGCCTGTGGCGGAGAATGCTCTTGTCGCATGTAATCTTTTGTAAATGCGGGAAAGGTGGGGACTGACTCTCGCATTTCAACACGGTTGGGAAGTAGGTGTCACTTACATAGGAATACGGCTACAACGTCTTCGTATATGGCTCCCACCTCCCAGCCACATCGTCACAAGTGTAAGTTATGTGATATGGTAACAACAATAACACAGAGAGAGAGAGAGAGAGAGAGAG